AAACTCGGATTTGATTGGTGGTGTAGGACACGATGGGTTATATTCACACGTGAAGTCGGGCGCCGGGGGCTTGAGCTCGGCTTTAATTGGTGGTGGTGATGGACATGGTTGGCTATATCCTAGCTCAAACGTTTTTCTTTCTTGCGCTTTATATTTAGCAGGGTTGTCCTTCCTGTAATAATGAACATAAAAAATAAAACTTTGTGAATAAATGTACAGTTAGAAATATTATGAAATTTTTTTGAAATGCTATATTCCATCTACAGGTCTGTCTGATTTTAATACATATACAAGTAAACTACATGATACATAATTCTTTATTTAGTTTTTAAAAATAACTTAAATTTTAAAGTAATAATAAAAAATAGTTTGTTTTCCAACAATATATTTATCGAAATTTCTTTAGAGTCTCGTCTTCTTTATCTCTTTATAAATGACGGAATACTTTTACTCATTTTTTTATTGTCAGGGAGGGAGCAAAGAAGGGACGGGTACTTTTTTGGAAGAAATTCTGCTTTGAAATTAAACAATTCTCAACCACAAAAAAATCCAGTAATTTTTATTGACACTACTGATACGCATTTAAGAAATAAATACTTTCGAATCAAAATAGACGAGTCTTCCATCTCACTTATTTTCCTTCTGACACCCCCAGATGTTACATTATCGAACACATAAGGGTCCTCAGGATAATTTTGTAGTATAATTTTTTTTTCACAAAATATTGTAAAATTTATCATTTCGGGGGATATACAAACATTTAAATGTAATATTTTAAAATCAATTCACCCTGATTAAAAGACCCCCACATAGGACTCCTCTACCAGTAAGATTCATTCCTCCTCAAAATGTCCACTTCATGTCATATCCCAATTAAAAGCTAAAAATGACATCTTATTTCTTAAATTTAACTCTGATCAAAGATAGATAACTCTATACAAAATAAAATCCATCCGTAGCATAAATATGAAAGTAGTGGTGTGAACATGCATTACATCACCAGAGGAAAAAAAATCAATTACATACACATTTACTCCTCATCCCAATGCTCATTGGAGGATATATGAATTTCATTATAACTAGGGAGAGAATTGTCTCCTTTTATCATACAAATTTTATCACAGTTATTTTTTTTATATCTGGTACTAGTCCATGAAAGCTCTCAACGTAAAAGGGTTCCAACTCCTCACCCCAATTCTCTGACGAGGATATACAGGTGTTGAGGTCCTGGGCTGAGGACACCGCCTATAATTATTTGAATAAAAAAATCAAGTGATAAAAATATTTGATTTTGATGATTAATGGGGTGATTTTCATTTACCACAGAAATAGATTTTAAAGTAATAAAAGATAAAATTAGAGAGGAATGAAAATAATTATAAATTATGATAATAAAATAAAAGAAAGACACTTACTGACATGAGAGTCTCTCCATTAAGCGTCTTGCTTCTCTTAAGTGCAATTGTATTTGGGCCTTTTCAATACAGATACTGAAACATTTGAAAATACGTTATATTAATTTAAAAAATATGACCCCCCGGAGCCTGAGACTCTCAATACACTGCCTTGTATACAAAGTGTGAGTACATAAATAAAAGAAATGGTCAGCCAACCATGGAATGTTAAAGTTCACCTTTTTGGATAAAATAACATGATTAACCTATCAGATAACATTTAAGATATAAGGTTATGGAATTAAAGGAATATCCTAATATTCTGGGAGAGAGGTATCACTTTTTTTGGTAAAAGGTTCCAATTCCTCGTCCCAGTTCCCACCATCTATCTGAATATCCTTGTATTCTAGGAGAGAGGTATATCCTTTTTTGGAACACATGTTATCCCTCTCCAGCCATCCTTCGTAAAGCTGTTTTTCTATACAGTATTTGTAATGGTCACTTCCATCGCCCCTTTTAATTTTGTGGCTATGGTTAAATTCACAAGATGTAGAGGGTTTTTTTTAGAAGAGCTTTGTTTGTTTAGAATATTTAATAAGATGACGTGAAAGTCTTCCTTTTGTAATGACTTGTGTTTTGTAATACGGGCAAATGACTTTCTCATCGGCAGAATTTCTGTAAAAATCCATATTCTCTTAGTATTTATATATGCAATCCTAAACTCCTAATTAGGACTTTAATGCTTATGGGAATAGTAGTAAGGGCGGACGTATACCCCCCCCCCCTAACAATGGGCGCCTTTTATGTTGGAGAACAATAGAAGAACAATTGGGGAGAACAATGGGGACGGAGAACAATGAAGTGACCCAGTAACCCTGACCAAGATCTAGTTAACAAAATGACCTTGACTGAGACCTAATTACACTGAGAATGAGGAGAGGTGTTAAATGACATAATGAAAATTTATACCACCCCCATCAATGGCAAGAGAACAATGATGGTGAACAATAGAGTGACTTAACTCTATGTGTTTTGTGACGTCACATAGACGGAAGCCTGATTTAGAGTGTGTAATGTCAAGGGGGCGATTCTTTTTTTAAGTATCAGAAATTAATGAACATTAGTAATGTCGGTGATATCGTTAAAGCTGCAGCTCAAGAAACCGCTATTTAATCATTACAATTGTTTTAATCACAAATTGATGAGAGAATTGAAGTACGCATGCACGAAAGTGTAAATAAATAAGGGATCTTCATTTATACTCAATGTATACAACTGAGAGTCCTCAATGATTTGAAGGCTTCGAGAAAAAAAAACCAAACAAACAAACGCTTTTTTCCATTCTGATTCTTCATATCAAAACTCGTATTATAAGAAACTTCCTTCAAATTCAAAACATTCGCTGTGGAATGGTAGTATTCTAGAAATTCTCTATAACAAGCATTGACATGAGTTGACCAGGACTAGAAAAAAATACCAAAAAATAACTGAGAACAAAGTAGATAAAAATATCAGTTGAATGAAAAACAATGAGAGTAATGCGGATGACTGTACCTTTACTGAATTCTTCATTAAAGGTAATTAATACATGACACCCAAAGAGTTAATTGCGCGCCTGGGAGCTGACGTACTATCACTACATATATATATATATATATATATATATATATATATATATATATATATATATATATATATATATATATATATATATGATGTAAATAATATTAATGAATAAATGACTCATCATTTACTAATGTACTTATAATTGATTAAGAAAAAAAGTCATTCATTCTTTTAAAACCATAAACGTTACATTGCTTACTTATTAAAATATTGAATGTCGATCTTGTTGATTTTTACAAATGTAGTTAACGCTGATGGTTTTATTTATCATTTCAAAATTTTAGGTAATTTAACAGATTTAACAAAAAAAAAAACTTTAAAAGTATTCATAAATTATGCTTATTCATGGAAACAATGTGATTTCTTTACACTTATTATATAGTTTCGCATGCTTTTACATTTCTCTGTCAATTTCATTAAATCATTATAATGATAGTCTGCTTTGTTAAAAAGGTCGTAGGTGTCAAAACGAACCTTTTAAAAGTCTTGTAATTCAGTCAAAGACATCTTTTCTTTCTCACAACTGTTACAATTCTACAAATTAACAAAATTGACAGCGATGTAATCGACTTAACACTTTTTACACTCGTATATATATTCCAATTACAGCTCAATATACTATATAGAGAATACATACATCGTTCTTTTTGCTAATAATGAAACTTTTTCTATAGAGTTTTATAAATTTGGAGAAAAAAAAAACAATACTTTTAATTTCTGTTTTGATCATCTTATTACGCTAAAATAAGGAACAAAATTAATAACGTTTTATTTAGCACTCTAATAGAAGCAGTTTCATTGTAAAGAATACATGAATACTATAATTATTAAATGTCAGTGCCCCCGTTTTTAATTCTCTATCTCTAGAACTCATCATCTCCGTCTAAATCCACCACTCGCTTCTTTTTGCGCGGTGTCATCACAAGCTATTGATATAAAAAAAACTTCCCATTGTACCCTTGCAAGGAAAGTTAATAGAATGTAACGTTTATGATATTGAATTAACAACTTACCAGTTCCGGGCTAGGTGGTCCAGCGCTGGCTTTCCTAACATCTTCCACAGCCTTGTTTTTCGTGTAGAACTGGTTATTCATTGTTTCAAACACATCATCCGGAATTGATACTTGTCGCCCATTGTTGTTGTCTACAAGTGATCAAAGAAAGATAACTTGTAGAAAATTTCAGACAGAGTGTAATAACTCGCCAAAGAAAATCAACTCCTTCAATTTAGTTGAATTTGCTTACCTTGAAGATGTAGGTACACTTTGCCCTTATAATAGCTGAGCTGGATGGCGTATTGTCTTCTCTGGTACTTGGTACTCTCTTTCAAAACGAACTGAGTAGTTCCATTACTTTTATCTTCTCTTTCAAAAGACTGCGACATTTTAAGATTGGAAATAAACTTTTATCCGCATATGTGATCGTAGAATGAAAAATGTTGAAAACGTACCCCTTTTATATATTATACATGTCCCTGAACTTATTTTGTTATATAAAATGTTTTTTAATTTGTTTACTAAAAAAATTGGATGACAGTAGAGAAACCTTTGTATGAACTATCACCCCACCAGCAAACTTTATTCATTGTCCCTTAAAGATGCTGACTTGGTTATTTTGAAGTTAACAATATGATTTATACATCGATCACGACTTGAGAAAATCTCACAATGAAGCTACTTTTCTTACATCGAGAATGGGGTGAAAAATCTCACCGTACACTCACATCAACAATTTAACAATAATTTTGTTTAAAAAAAATATTTTAAAGAATATGTTCTTGAACCTTGAAAACAGCATCTTTATTCATCCACCAAGGGTGACCTTACCTACGAATTTAAGTACATTCTGCAAAACAAAACAATTGTTAGAATTTTTTTTCTTTTTTAAAATTACTTTTTACTATATATTCTAAATTAAATTGAATAATGAATATTATTGAAAACCTTTCTATATTACCATAAGAGGTTTTGTCAATAATATTAGATCAATATTTGAAAACATCCGAAAATATTGAGAACAACTTAAAATACCTAGATTCCCTTTAAATTCTTCTCATTTAATTAAATATTTTCTGAATATTAAATAAAGCTGCATATTAGTGTACGGATACACAACATACCATATATGTCATGTATATTGCTGTTATGAACTCGTTTTGAAATACATCGGGCTCGTAATAAAATTATTCTGTTTATCTATTTAGCCCGCCAACGCGCAGTGTGCAAAGACACATGGACATGTAACAATGTTTATTGACGTGCTTTTCTGGTTTGTTTTCTTCGGTAATTTTGAGTTAATTTTGTGCAGGCCTAAAACAGATATACCCCTCTTTGAGGCCTGTCATGGTGAAGAATGTACGTGGTACGCGAATAGTAGATATATAGGATGTAGATCCAGTGATGATTTTCTTCTTCGTTTCCCATACTTTGATAAAAGCTCAACCATAGACTTCCGATGCCTTTCCGTTCAACAGATTTTTATTCGAAGTGATTTTGATTGCCGTGACATTCCTTTAATTGTTGAACATGCTAAAAATATGCCTAGTGTGTTTATGGGAGAGGCTGAGATACAATGTGTAAGTTGAAGATTTCATTATGCGATCATTAGTTTCATATTTATAACAGGTTCACAAAGTTTAATGTGAAATAAAAAACAGTCAAGCTCAAAACCTTTCTATGAATGTTATTATCATTATGATCAACAACCAGCAGCCTTTTCATCTATTATTAATATAAAAGGATATTGTATAAATAAGAATACTAATCAGGAGTAAATTTATAGCAGATTCCATCAACATTTCAAGGATCAACCAAGGCTTACACTACCTCTACCCCAATGATTCCCCCAACATCTCAAGGATCAACAAAGGCTTACACTACCCCAATGTCTACCTCTCAACATGTGAGTACTCATGGATCCACCAAGGTTTACACTACCTCTACCCCTATGTCCACCTCTCAACATTCAAGTAATCATGGATCCACCAAGGCTTACACTACCTCTACCCCTATGTCCACCTCTCTACATCCAAATAATCATGGATCCACCAAGGCTCACACTACATCTACCTTTATATCCACCTTTCAACATGTGAGTGAAGGCTTTAAGCATCACATGTTTTTATTGTAAATTTTTAAAGCTATAATTGAATCCGTCATCACATGAAATCCGTGACTGTAAAGTGATAAGGTAGCATTGGTCATCAATTCTGTTTTATAAGACTTTTATGTCTACTAAATATTTCAGCCACCTACGACTAGGGAGACTACAGACGATACTGTGAATGGGGATATGGGGACAGCACCACCGCCTGCGAAAACAACATCCTCAACAGTGACCATTCTTATAAGTAAATACTTATCCATATCTTCTTTTTGTTTGTCACTTATTACAATAATTATAACAATAACTTTTTTGAAATTATTGCATGTTAAAATAAAACAAAACCAATCTTTAAGAAGTCCAATATATACTGGATCAAATTTTTCACTTGACTCTTTTCAATTTGATTCAGAAGGTTATTTAAGACCACACACTGATGAATTATATGAGGATGTTCTTTAATTTTGTTCAGCTGTCTGTGCAGTTTTGACAACTACTTTAATTATCATAACTATATTTTGGTTAAAAAAGAAAAGATATCATAATTTGTTGTATCCAAAATATCATGAACAACACCAATTAGAAATAAGAGATGATCAGTTATAATTCACACTTAGCACATACATTTACAATATTTTTAATGTTGACTTTTTAAAAATTCTTATATCTCAAAATAAAAACAAAATGAATCATTAAGAAGACCAATATATTCTGGATCCAACTCGCACATCTCATTTATTCCTTTAAAGCTGAAGGTTATTTAAAACTACAGATTGATGATATTTATGATAAAGTTCTTTAATTTTTTTTCAGTTGTCTGCACAGCATTGATAAAGCACCGTTAATAATGATAAATGCAAAAAAACAAACAATTTAATTTGTTATATCCAGAGTGTCTTTGACTTGTGATGAATATTTAATAACTATGTTTTATTACATCTCTTGCAATGAAGTACAACTATGCATTATAAATTTACTCTCAGTTATTTCTCTGTGCTTGTTGGCTATTATGATCTGCAGCTGCTTGTGTTTGAGGCTTATGCAACATATCATTAGAAAAAGAGTACAAAGAGAACATATTGAAAACATTATTAAAATTCTATCTACCCATTCAATCGAAGACGATGATGAAAGTGAAATCTAGATTAATATCAAAATTTGTCAAACATTGTACCATTTAGGATATATGGTGTTTTCACAACAACATAGAAAGAACCACGAACGATAGTATTGTTCTCCCGCCTAGCTCTAAGTCAATTTTCAAAAATTAACATATTTGAATGATTTTCAGAATTGTTATAGATATTTATATGAATTTTCATAAAACGTTACTTTTTTGGGATACCAAAGAAAGATAACTCTATAATTATGGTAAAACTTGAGTATTTCACTATAGAAATCAATGGAAAATATTTTTAAAACATCTTCCCCCCCCCCCCCCATGACACAAAATTTCCTTTTTACAGGTAATATAGACTGTCATTCTACAAATTTATGCCGAAGCTTTTTGTGTTTCACGGGGGGGGGGGGGGGGGGGGGGGGGAACATATGTTTATAAACAAAAAAGGAAAAAATGTTGATTTTTCACCAATTTTAAAGCTATTTACAGCCAAATAATTGTATTTCAATAATTTATATATGTTTTATTTATTTGTGTACAGCATAAGAAAAGATATGAAATACATTTAATCATATTTAAGACTATTTCAAAATAAATTGATTCTTGAAAGTTCGATTTCACTAGAAAATATCGTCTACCCCCCTTTTTTATACGCCCGTCTTAAGACGGGACGTATTATGTTATAGGCTTCATGTCCGTCCGTCCGTCTGTACGTCTGTCCATTCGTGTCCGGCTCATAACTTCAATACTATTAGGCTTAGGATTATCAAACTTTGTCAACTGATACTTTTTGGGTAGACGGTGTGTCGCGCACGAAAAGTAGGTCGCTCTGACCTTTAATAAAGATGCTATGGCCAAATATGGAAAAATCCTGTCCGGCTCATAACTAGAAAACTATTAGACCTAGAGCTATCAAACTTGGCAAAAGTATACATCTTAGGTAGAAGGTGTGTCGCGACCTATTTCAAGGTCACTGTGACCTTTAATTTTAGTGAAATTTTTTAAAAAACTAAGTTTTTTAAATTTTAAATTTCATAATCCTAAAAATGTAAAAAATAGAGTTGTATCCTTATTAAAAAGTATTAAATCAAGTAAAAACTTATTTTTTCATCATATACTTTACAGCAATCTTAAACAAATTTCAATGTTAATGAGAGGAATTCAGTTTGTCCCATGGGCATAATTATCAAGCACTGGTCAGGAAGAATTTTGATAGCAGAAAGTTGCATGTCAAATTAGAGAGAAATTAATGAGTTTAGTGTGAGGAGGTAACTAGTAGAGCATTGGTGTTATCCCTTGGGTATTGGGCAAATGGACAGCCAGCCTAGCTGTTAGATTAAAAATAGCTCTTGTTGGCTAGCTAAGTTTTAAAATGAATTTAATGAAAAGTAATTAAAAGTTATTTGATATTGCATAATAAACTAATAATCTGATATTATATAATATTAATTAATTAAAAACTAATTTTATGGGGTGGGGTTGAATCAGCATGCCTACTTGACAATATGAATTTAATATAAAACCTGTCTGGCATTAAATCTTAAAAGAAATCATGGAGTATTTTATATGTTTTAAAAGTGTTTTAGGATAAAAAGTGCAGATCCATTAATATTTAGGGAGTAATGAGTAGACAAGCATCCAGTCAAAGAATAATTAATGAGTTCAATGTACAAAGGCTATCTGATCAAGTGCTGCCTTATCTGTATCCTTTGGGGATTAGACAGAAGAACTGCTGGTCAGTTTATAGCATATGTCATTTGATGGCCAGCCTTTCTTTTCAAAATTAATTTGGCATAGATTAAGTTGTTAAGACTAATTTGATATTGTTTATTATGATGGCCAGCATTTGACAAAGTCTAAAACAAACAGTTGTATAGAAATCTGTCAGTTATGTAATATTTGTTATAATTATGCCTACAGCACAGGGGATGGATAAAGAAATATTTTTTTTAAAAATGGAAAAATCATGGAAATCTTAGAATCAAGGTTGAAGTGATTTTCTTGCAGTCTAAACTGTTAAAGATAATTGTGTAATATTTTGACGGGCGTATCATGCTGTGGCGTGGCACTTTATTGACAGCTGAAATTATTGACCATTTACTAGCTAGAGCTGGAGTTAAAATGATTAATCAATTACCATAGAACTGTTCTTTGTACTAAACCAAAATTTAATGGATTAATTGCAATTAAAATTGAATTTAAAGGGTGCAAAATGTAGGCGGGAATCAGGAGTTAGAGTACGTGGTTCTTAGAGATATGTAAAAATTTTATTTTTGTAGGTTTAATTGGACTCCTGGGAGTTGTTGGAAATCATCTCATAACAATTAGAAGATCTCTGACTGAGATTTTTAGAACTTTACAAACTATCTTTATCAGTATTGAACACTTTGTGTTAAAAGTT